GTTTTTGGCTATTGTGAATAATGCTGCTATACAAAGCCACTCCTAGCATGGATGTATGCCTTCATTTCTCTTGTGGAGATACCTGGGAATGGAACCGATAGATTGTATGGTAATTATATGTTTATATTTTTCAGAGACTGTCAAACTCTATTTTCCAAAGTGGTTTCTGCATCTATTTTAGCGCTCATTGTCATTTAGCACTTTATTGTCAGAAGAAAAAGACAGTGTTTCTTATCATTCATTCATTCATTCATTCATAAAACTCATTCCTTTATTTCGCATGTATTGAACATTTACCTTGTCCCAGGTATTGATGATATAACTTTAAATGACAAAAGTGTTTTCTCCAAGGGGCTCACAGTCTGTTAGAGAAACAGACAAATAACCAGATAACCAAGTGCATTAAGAGAATTATGTAAGTGAGGCCCACCCCTGGTGCTAGGTGCCAAGAGGAGGGTACCTATCCCAGGATCAGGGTGACGGGGGAAGTTTTAAAGATGGTCGTGCCTAAGTTGGTTCCTGGAGCGGTATCTAGGGGAGTGAGGTAGGAAGTGCATTATACTTCTAGGAGCAGAAGGCAGGCTGCCCTGTTTGTAGTCAGAATCCCCTACCCTGATCAACTTTACTTTTTTCTATAGCAGTTCCGGCCTATGTATTTACATGCTGAACTATTGTCTCTTTCCCCCTTGAGAGTAAAAATCTGTTTCGTTCACTGACATATCCTCAATATCTCACACACTGCCTGACACAAAGAAGCTACTCAAATGAATGTGTAACACTAACAGTTTTGATAAAAATGTGTGTTTAGTGCTGCCTAATGACAGCGATTGCAGGTGAGACTCCAGTGAGACAAATGAAATCAGAGTTGCTAGGAAAATTGGATGCACTGATTGGTGAGGAGGAACACCTCTGAGATTGTAGAACATCATAGCACAAAATCAATAGCATTATCTCATTTCAGGATTTAAGGCTAGGTAAAACGAGTTTGCCCGATGGCCAAAGGATGGTTTGATATCTCTGGCAAGAGAACATATTTCTTTATGACATTAGGATGCAAAGGGAAGTTTGCAGGTACCAACACAGAACTTTCAAGTAACTTTTCAGAAAGTTAGAAATCCTTGAAGTGGAAGGATACCATTTGAGAAAGTTATTTTGGTTAATGAAGCCAGGAATAAGGGATCTGAGAGGAGTAGGAGGAAGGAAGGAGGGGGAAGAGGCAAAAAATGTCATTCTATCTTTTTTGAGAGATTTTGGCAAGTCAAACAAGGACAATTTTTGGCACAATTCTCTGTGATTGTCTTCAGAACAGTGGAAAAATGCCTTTGCTCATAAAAGAAAGATTTACCGGGAAAATACTAAGGTGTCTTCTACTCAAACTTATTTAGGCTCTTAGTTGAGGGAATTTCAGCCATTTCTGATATACAGAAAAGGAATTCACCCAAATGGAGATTTATGCCTTATCTTTTATC